TGAATAAAGCGGAAAGAAGCATCTAGTCACGTCATTTTGAAATCAGTAAAGTGATGTACAATATACTGTACACCATGAGCGAAAGGGTTAAAGCAAAAATCTGAATTTGGTTTCGACAATTAGTTTCGGGAGTAATTTTTTACCATTTATATTTCACATCGGTATTAATTTTTTCCCTTACATTGTACGGGAGTTATATTGTAAAACCCTCTAGCATTCACTTTTTTAGGTTCTGCAATTTTGAACAAAGTGTTTTCTGAGGAATACTATTTCCACAATTTTCCACTGGAAGTTTTCCCCGTTTCGCGCCTGTATTTTTTGTAATTTACCCGTTTTGTCCCTCTCTTTGTTATCCTAATAGTTATTCCATTCGTTAGATATCAGTGCGACAGGCATTGCTTTTTTGATTTAATTTTATGTCCAGTTTTTTTCACTCTTGGCCAATATAGATGTTTCTTCTATATTTCGTTTTCACATTGAACATTAGTTTTAATCCCTTCATTAGAAATTTTATTTTCACTCTCATTTTCAACAATTTTTTATATATCCTCCTTTTGATTATTTATATTTTCTTTAAATATATTTATGGGATCCTTTCTGCCACAGACTAACTTTATATACAATATTATTTTCATCTTTTTGGCTATCAGTATTGTTATTGGCTTTATCAGTATCATCGGCATTTGAAACTAATCTTATATCTTCTTTTCCATCTTCAGTCGAATGAGTCCAACTTTTTGATTTGCTTTCATACAAAATTTCCATAAATTCTTGAGACCGAATATATTTAAATTCGGTAGTTTTCTCACCTAGAGCTATTTTTCTAAACTCAGATTCATTGATTTGAACTTCTTTATCTTCTATTTTACTTTCCTGTGCTTGAATTATGCTAGTGTCTTGTGAATTGTTAGAAACAAATTCTGTTACTTCTTTTATTCCTATATCATTGTTTGTACCAAAATAGGTAATGTCATCGAATTGGATAGGCAACTGGTCCATAACTGATTCCGTTAAATTGAGCGAGGGTTCAGTATCATATACAATACTGTTTTTTATTTTGTTTGTACAAAATTTGTATACAGTGCGAAAATAACTTGTTTCATCGTTACATTTATTATTAAGAAAGAATTTTAAAACTTTATGGGTGCTAATGAAATCGTTCATTGCGTCCGTTCGGTGCGAATGTTCTCGTATAATTTTTTTCCAAGCAATTTTAAGCGGCTTGAACATGGATACGTCGCAAGATTGCAATACGTGAGTTGCATTCGGTGGTAGACAATACACGAGTAGTTGCTTTTTCTTACAAAATTCATATAATTCGACACTAATGTGAGATTTATGGCCATCTAGGAATAATATCACTGGCAACTGTATTTTGTTTTCAATTATCCAGGGATAAAAACGATTTGCGATGTATTCATAAAATGTCTCTGACACCAACAGTCAGAGTCAGATTTACTTATGAAGAAATTACTAGACATAGACATAGCCACATCTCTCGGAAGTAGTTTATATGGTGCAATTACTAGCGGAGGGACAGAAACTGCGGATGGTGAAAAGTTGCAGAGCGCAGTAATACTCTCCTTTTCAGGGCCACTACTTATGTTGTAGAAATCTTTGAAACCCTTTGGTCCTAAGAGCTTGCCTGTATTAGGACAAAACTGTACATCGGTTTCGTCAGCATTATAAATTCGTGTTGGTTCTGAAATAATGTCTTCACAGCCCTTAATATGAATGTAATCTTTTAGACCGTCAAACCAATTTCTTATAGACTCTTTAGTAACTGAAGCCCACGCTTTAGAAATAATTTCAGTATTTCGTTTCGCTGGCCTTCTTGGCAAAAAAAGCTGCAACCACTTTTTTCCTGGTTTACCGTCAGTAAAACTAGTGATTCTGTTACAATCTCTTAAAATAAACTTGACTGCATTTTGTACCTCTTCCGGATGCATGGAAAAACCAAGTTTCGCTTTTGCAATTATCCAGTCCTCTAGTCTTTTTCCTCGTCTTCCGTAAGTGTAGCTTTGGGTCCCATTTTACGAATTAGTGGAGTAATGCCTCTTATTTTGTTACTCAAAGTTGCTTTTTGGTATTCCAAATTTTATAGAGGCTACGTTTTGGGACAAAGTATCCGTTCTAATTTTAATAAGAGCAAGTTGTAACTGGTTTTCTGAATATCTAAATCTTTGGTAGGGCTTCTTTGCGGATGACTTTGTTTTTGTTATCGAGCTTTTACTTAAAGCCCTTTCATAGTTTACTATGTAGAGTAGCTTTAGGAATACTGTATTTCTTGGCTGCTCCATTTTGGCTAAGACTACCACTTCGAACTTCTTTAATAGCGGAGGTTAACTGGTCATCAGAATATTTACGTTTGTCCATCTATGGAAAAAAATCAAATTGGGTAAAAAAAAACAGTAAATTCGAGTTGTTCATTCACTGGGACAAGTTGGAAATTCATGGCACCAATAAATGAACGAGGAGTAAACACCCGTCCAATTACTGGATACGAATGTTAGATGTATTATAGAGATATACAGTATCATTCAAGGGTAACCACTTGATGTTTTGGAACATAAATTCACTCAATACTCAAAATTGACTGAGGGCCCATGAACAACTCTTCATTTACTGGAATTCATAAAAGTATTGATCTCCAGTGAGCACACAAAAATATGTTAAACTAATCTACAAAATGTAGTTACCTGATTAACAATTGCAAATTTAAGCTACTTACAAATACTAAACACTATAATAGACGCGCCTTTGTCTATAGCAATAGCTAAAATCTAGAAAATTTTACAGTGGTTTGTAGTACGTACCTTATTAGCCAGTGTTCACACCACGCCGTTCAGTATGCACAGTAACAATCCGCCATTATAGTTTCTAATAATCACGTGCCAGGTTTAAGCCAATCAATGTACATCATAGCAAAACCCTCATATACACAGTATCCATAAAGCTTATTTTAACATATATATCGTCGTCTTAGAAGCCAATAAGTCTAACACACAATAGTACAAACTAGAGAAATCGACGATTAAAGATTTTCGCGTGCTGGAAACGGAACATTTTTAATCATAACAAATTCATTTTTTTCTATAGAGAGTTAAAACTCACAACATACTTTGTTTATGGTTAAACTTATCATATAATAATATTCATAATGACATTGTTAATAAAATGTGAGAGTTAAGTTGCTTAGTATTATTGACCGCCGTCATTATTAATGTAATTGGTTACTCCACTATTCGGCTATACCGCATAGGTCTTTTGGCCACTACGAAAATGAACGAGACGTAAAAATTGGGAATGTAGCAAACATGGTGAAAAATCGAATTTTTTGTTAGTGAACATCGAGTATGTTTTAAATCAAGTTTATTTTGATATAACTAAATAAAAAAAAACTAAAATTAATTCTAAGTATAGTAACTAGGTATTTTGATATAACTAAATCAAAAAAAAATTCTAAAATTAAATGTAAGTATAGTAACTAGTTATAACATTTCTCATCTTCTGAATTACTATCTGTGGGAGGTTCCTGACCTTCTTCCAAGCTGTTGTAGAATGCATGGTAAGCAGAAGGTATGCTGCCTTGAACACATAACTGCTTCAGGTCCTTCAGCTTTGAGGAATCAATCTTCAATTTTCTACTGTAGAGTTTAGCTACACCGTGTTGGTTGTTTCGCCGGCGTCGATGCATTCTTAGTGATTGAAAAGTTTCCTGGCTGAGTTGATTTTCGATACTGGAACCATTTTACATGGAGCTAGTTCATAGTTTCATCCTCAGCCTTAGTCTTATTAGTTATAACTTTTGTAGAGTATGATTAAAAATCTAAAAAATCGGTTTGATGTAGTTCCGTTACTTTGTAGTAAGGGTGCGATATTTTTGCCGTGCGAGCAACAGTGTACCATCGCTCCGGAGTGAATACATCGATTTTTTGACCTCTCGATTCTATCGCAGAGTGAACGCTGTCACACTCCATCTCTGAATGACCTGACTCCATGAATTTCTGATTGATGACCTCAATAGGCAAATCACTTACAGCACGGAAAAACATCGCAGAAACGATCGAGTTTCTATTTTGACCAGTGGCGGTATCAGAGTAGAAGGTTATCTCCTTAACTTCTGACTTTAATTCTGAAACAAGTTTCTATAGACATGTGGCAGTCTCCGAAGATCCTTTCGCACATTCTCCTTCATGCCGCATATAATTGGTTGCTTCAGAAGTTCCGAGGTTATAGATTGTGAAATTAATTGTGTTTAATTTTCTTTTATAATATAACTGACCGATTTGTAAACTGGGAGATAGTAGAATTTTTTCCAACTATCGTAAAAGAAATGAAGCTGTGGTCAGTTTTTGCTCTTGTTTTGTCTTGTTCCTTGTGAAGTCTGGTTTCATCTTTTCTTGTTAGGTGTAGATTGTATTCATCTACAATTTTATCTTTATCATTTGGGAGCATATTTTTCACCTGTGTACAGTAATCGCATTGGTTTTTTTTTGGCTTGTAGAATCCATAATCGAACTCTGATGTAAAAATATTCTTGTAATAACTTGCCTTTTCAGGTTGCACATTTTTTTCGTTACAAAATTGTACGTAATCCAGGTATAACCTATTTTCACTTAAACCAGATTAGATACTGCCTTTTAGTACTGCTCCTACAGTAGTGGGGGGCCACGGATGTAAGTGATTTTATGTGCTCTCTTATATCATTTTTGACTTGCTCTGTTTTTTTGTTTAGTGGTTCCTTTTTACCACGCTGGTCTGACTCTGTAGTACCTTCTGGCGTCTTCTTTTATAGTGCCGTCCGAATTTTTTTAGCAGAAATATTTAGTGTGGCCAAAAAATGTTTTGCGCACTTGGATTTTGTTTCCATCTACAGTTAAGCTGAAAGCTAAAGTGTTATTTCGTCTAGATTCTGCTTCACCTTGATATCGCCTCTTCACGGGCATACTTGACACATTTTGTAATAAAACTCCACCTTAGTTGTTCACATTCCATTTTTAGGTATTGGGTTCGTTTGGGTTCCTTTTGCGTTTTCTAATCGAGCTCTGTTCAGTAGTTACAGCAACATTTTCATTGGTTTGTGTCCGACTCAACATTCTTCTTGTTTCTGGAGAATACGGTTCGTCATCTTTGTCGCTGTTAGAAACACAACATGACGATAATGAAGACTGTGATGTCTCCTGAATAGTATGTGATACGCTAGGCTCTTGGTTTACAAATGAATTGTCTGAATCAGCTCCTTTTAAACCTTCTGTAAAGTTTTGGGTCTGAAAATCAAATTCTGGTCTTAGTAATGTTAATGGTATAGTAGTGAACAAACTACAGATATTGAAATAAGCTTTCCACTTACTCTGAAAGTCCTGTTTCGTTCTGGAAGAACTATCTTCAATACTATGAAATCAGTTGTTGTTTCACATGGTTCTGGGCCTGAAAATCAACGTTAGTCTTAGTAATGTTAATTATTGTTAATAGCATAGAACTGAACGAACTATAGGTATTGAAATGAGCTTTCAACTTACTCTGAAAGTCCTCGTTTCGTTCTGGTAGAACATTCTGCAATACTGGGAAGTTAGTTTCTGTCTCACTTTGTTCTGGGTCTGAAAATCAACGCTAGTGTTAGTAATGTTAATGGCATAGTACTGATGCTGAAATGAGCTGTCAACTTACTCTCAAAATCATGGTTTTGTTCTGGCAGAACGTTCTGCAATACTGTGAAGTTAGTTACTGTCTCACTTTGTTCTGGAACTGAAAATGAAACGCTAGTCTTAGAGTAATGTTAATGGCATAGTACTGAAGGAACTATGGGTATTGAAATGAACTTTTAACTTACTCTGAAAGTCCTCGTTTCGCTCTGACAAAACATTCTGCAATACTGTGAAGTCAGTTACTGTTTCACATTGTTCTGGGCCTAAAAGTCAACGCTAGTCTTAGTAGTGTTAATTAATGTTAATAGCATAGTACTGAACGAACTATAGGTATTGAAATGAGCTTTCAACTTACTCTGAAAATCCTCGTTTCGTTCTGGTAGAACATTCTGCAATACTGTGAAGTTAGTTACTGTCTCACTTTGTTCTGGATCTGAAAATTAAACGCTGGTCTTAGTAATCTTAATGCCATAATACTGAACGAACTATAGGTATTGAAATGAACTTTCAACTTACTCTGAAAGTCCTCGTTTCGCTCTGACAACGTTCTGCAATACTGTGAAGCCAGTTACTGTTTCATTTTGTTCTGGGCCTAAAATCAAATGCGGGCTTTAGTAGTGTAATTTGTACAGCTATAGTAGACATTAAAATAATTTACAACAATAAAGACCCTTTTCGGAAGTCGTAAAATGATTGATTTTCTATTTACGCAGTTTATTGAAACGTGAATAACTTTATTGGGATGTAGGTTTTATAAGTTCATCGTTTTTATTAAATTTTTTCAACATTTGTAACTAAAATGCTAATTTTTTAAAAACTATTATTATCATGCTGTTTATTTTGCTTAAATGTGTAGACGAAGATTTCATATGTCAAAATTAATCATCAAGTCATTTCATTTGCTTGAAGATCCAAGCCGATCCTGTGGTCCTCTTTCTTCACCCCCTGTTCCGCTGATAGACAAATTGTGATTCATTGTAAAAATAATTTTAATATGTACTATACCTCTTCGTAATAATTAAGAAACCAGAGTTTCCATGTATTTTTTATTGATTTATGAAATAAAACAGCTACTTACCAGGAACATTTTCTTGTCGTAACAAAGCTGCTTCAACCATTTTTTTCACACGAGATGACCTAATGATACTTGCGCCAGATTTATGACATGTATATATATATATATATATATATATATATATATATATATATATATATATATATATACATATTTCAGCTCAACAGGCCTCAAAGGCCCAAAGCTTCAACGGTTTTCTTCCATTTCTTTCTATCTTGTGCTAAGTTTTTCCAATCTTGTACCCGCAGCGACTTCATATCTTCTTTTGCCGACTCCAGCCATTTTCTTCGGGGCAGCCTCTTTTTCTTTTTGTACCAGCCTCCGTGTTTATTAATTCATTGGGAACTCTTCCTTCATTCTTGCCATATACCCGAGCCATCTTAATCTTTGAATTTATAAAATATTTGCATTATTTCTTCATTCGTTCTTCTTCGCCAGATGTTCCCCTCTTTTACACCTCCGTATATCCTTCTAAGAATTTTTCGTTCCCATCTATCTAATTTTACTTCCATGTCTTTATTTAGTGTCCAGGTCTTGCTAGCATAGAGTACTGTAGGTAGGTCGGATAACTGTTGTATATATTCGTTTTTTTGCTGTTCTGGATATTATCTTCGACCTCAGTATCTTAGTCAGGCTCCCAGCACTCTAACTACCTTTGGCCATTCTTTTTATGATTCTCTTCGTTCCTATTTGTTAGTGTCACTACCAAGTAATCGAATTGGCTAACAACTTCAAAGTTATATTCTTTACTTGGGCTTTGTATCTTAAAGGACTGTCCTAGGATCTATCCACCGAGAAGCGATAGTGCCAGTAAACAACGAAATATACGCGTGTAGGGTTATAAACGTTTTAATTGGCTGGCGTTTAGATCTCTCTCCGCCTATTTCAGATCTGTATTACGAAAATTAAGTGATATTTATGAATGTATATTTTTAAATAATAGAACATTTTTGATTCAATGCACATACAAAGTCGGCAATCAATGTTTTTCTCATCCTATATGTCATAAACTTGGGAATAGATATTCATTCTACAATTTTTGGTTTGTATTTTTAAATTAAATACTAATACTAAATCAACTGACAACACTGTACACAGCTGTACTGCTGTAACTTCCATTAAATTAGTATTTGAAGAGAAGTGGAACGATAAAGATGCTAAAGATGCATCCCTAGCCACAGTTAGACGATACTTCTGTTATTGCGCTGTTGCCAATTTGTTATATTTGATTGTGCTACATAGATTTTAAATCTATTTGTTGACAATTATGAAAAATGAGCACATACATTTTGCAATGCATATGGAATGACATTTAAAATAACTTTTTTTTCAGACCCTTTATATTTTGTGCACTTATTTCTATTTCCGTTAATTAGTCTGGTAAAATTATAATAAATCAAACTTGAGGAAAATGTATGTTATGCATTATTCTTATAAAAAAGATTTACAAATAATAATTGAGATTAGTAGGATAATTATGAAAATAAATACAAACAAACGAGGCTTACATGCCAAAAAAATCGTTCCCCTTCCGTTTTATAGCTAACTTGGGAAAAAAACGTGGCTACTAAGATGGCTTACCTTGTTGTCGTTAAAAACAATTAGGAAAAACTTGAACTATCACTATCACCATTACTACCAATTTCTATAATTAACGGTTCAACCATGACCTCAATAATAATATCAAGTTCCCAGAACTTTTTTCTACTGTATTCTGCACATGCTTCACACAGTTTTTCCATTTCTCCTGGGTAATGTTGTTAAGGGCATCATTTAAAAGGATTTTGACATCTGCAAATTTGAAAGTCTTGTTGTTGGCAGCAACAAAATTTTTAGCATCAGCGCAAATCAGCTCAATAGGATTGAGCTCACAATGGTAGGGTGGCAAACGTAAAACGGTTTTATTTTGAGCTTTTGCGAGTTCGTCGATAACATATTTGTTATATTCAGCCTTACGCGGTGACACTAATTGTAAGAGTTCAACTTTAAGCCTGTCCTCATCGAAGTCGATATTTTTTGATCGTAACCAGTCTTTTATTTTTTGCTTTATCCATGCTGTAGTCGGTACTTTCTCACTTTTTCGCGAATGGTAAGGAGCATTATCGAGAACTATGACACAGTTGTCTTCTAAAAGAGGCAAAATATTTGCAAACCACTTTTCAAAACCGTCTGAGTTCACTTCCTCGTGATAGTCGCCACTCTTTTTGGATTCAAACGTCCATAGGCCACCTTCTACAAAACCTGTTTCACTCCCAATATGTGTAAGAATCAGTATTTTTCCTTTGCCAGATGGATTTTTGAGACCTGCTGAGAGACCTGACAAAAACGCCTGCCTGGAAGATTTCACTGTTTCGTCAACACACACACATGAGATTTTGTATGACCCACGTTTCATCTAAATAATAAATTTTCCTGTTTTCCTCCCGAAATTTTTTAATGGATTTTAAAAAATTTCGCCTCCATAAAATCTAATAATATCTTCTTCTATTCTTCTCGTTCTAATAAAGCACTGTTTCTACCCCTACGTACGTATTTAAAATCTAATGATTTTATAAATTTATGGAAAGTACCGTGTTTAAAACTTGGCAACCTTTCGTCGTCGTTAACAGCTGCAAGAACTTTGTCTATAGTTGGTATTTCGTTGCGAAAAAAAAAAAAATTGATGTACAATTCGGCGATAAGCAGTTTTATCAAAATCGTCTATTTTGTGAAGTATGGTTTTTCTGGGTTTGTTCTTTTTCGGTGAAGAAAATCCTTCTGTACTTTTCTGTTCCCTAATAATTCTGTACACAGAAGCTTCACCTACTTCGCTGGTAGAAGCAGTTTGTTTAACTATTTCCGATATTAAAGCTTCAGGACGCGATTCCGTTGTCGATTTATAAATATTATATATAACGCCTTTTTCCGTACTACTAAATGCACGTAATTTTGAACGCTTTTTGGAGTAAATTCCTCGGCAGAATCTATAGAACTCGACATTGTTTGTAAAACTAAAAATTATACAGCAAACTGTAAATAGTGTAAAAAAAATAAATATAAAACCAAACAATAGAAAGCATAAATAAACACCCACTAAGTTCGATTAAACGCGCCGAAATGTACAATTACCACGAAAGCTATTTTATCAACTGAACTTATAGCGAGTTTATACACGCAAGAATTTGCTGACGCCAGTATTTGTTGGCACGCTAGTAAAATAAAATTGCATGTATACACAGTCATGCACTTTTCGGACTTGCTCGCTACTTCTCGCAGTAACTTCGGCTATCTTTTATGGCTCTCATATGTTTGGCTTCTATTAGTAAATGATCTATTTGGTTTACTGTTTGTCTATCTGGTGATACCCAGGTACCTTTATGAATTTCTTTGTGATCAAAATAAGTGCTCATAATTCGCATATTGTGTTCGAAAGCAAATTCTATTACTCTTTTTCCATTCAGATTACTATTTCTGTGATTACTTTTCCCCCCTGTTATTTGTTTGTATACATCCTCCCTGCCAATCTTGGCATTCAAATCTCCTACAATCATTTTTATGTCATATGATGGTATTTTGTAAAACATATGTTCTAATTGTTCATAAAAGCTATCTTTAACGTCTTCATCTGTATTTTCTGTTGGTGCAATAAGGGTTACTTTTCTATATTTTCCTCTTAGTCTTATTTTACATAATCTACTTGTGACTGCCTCAAAATCTATCTATCACCAGATTGGCAAATGTTTTCTTTATAAAAAATCCCACCCCAAATACACGTTCATTGTCTCCACTGTTGAAAAACACGTAGTTTCCCACATACATGGTAAAATTTCCTTTTTGTTTAGTTTCTTGTATAGCTGCAATATCTATCTCATATTTCTCTAACGTATCTGATAAGTTCTTTAGTGCCCCTACTTCAAAAGTCCCTCTAACATTCCATTGTCCTATCATCATCCCATTCCGCGCTTTATTCGTTTCCATATTTTCCTGACCACTGTGCCTGTGTAGACTCAGTTTTTTTTTTTTTCATTTTCTCTAGTTTTTCGGTACTATGGTTCCATTTCCACCATTCATCATTTATACATATTTTCTGATAGCCGACTCTTGTTTCATTACCTTTTCCTTTTTCTTCTCTCGCCATATCTCTTAGCTCTTTCTGTAGTTTGGCTTCGGCTTGGGTTAGACTGTTTTCAATGAAATACCGCATTTCTCTTAATTTACACTTATTCTTCATAATAAGTTCTTTATCCTTCATTGTATCTACTTTTACTATCGCCACTGGTGTTTTCCCTTGAGAGGTTCTTATTTTCTGCACATCTTTTATTTTCGTATTCCATTGACTTGATCTAAAGTTGGTGGCATCTTCCAGTTCCTCATTTTCTTTGAAATCGTGTCCTTTGATCACAATGTTTTGTTTCCGAATTTGTTTATCCATCGTTTCGATCCTTTTTTTTTTTTTTTTTTTTTGGGAGGTGAGAATCTCATGGACCTCATGGTGTGTTGGACTCGACCCGCCACGCTTCACCGTGCCGGGCCGCCTACCAACTAAACTCACCTCCTCTTCCTCCAACCAACGGGCCTGCTACCGCTCTTAGCGAGCATTGCTCAGACCCGCCAGCTTTACTCGTATCTCCTGTTTAGCACTTTCCATGTGCACTCCGCGATTGTCCTGACCTCCCAGTTATGCCGCTCAACCCACGTCTGCACAGGACCGGTTCGTGAAGTCATCCGTCCTCATACAAAACAATGGGCCGGCGGAACAACCGTGAAATCCTGCCACTCACCGCGAGCTAACAAAAAATGACCGAACAGCAGGTAAGAGCAACTCCATACGTTCATCTTTCATTTACTCTTCTTTCACACTCGCATTACAACACAGGACATTCACACTGTACGATACATTAAATAAAAGAACAGAAAAGATAAAATACAAGTCCAAACTTTTGTCCACTTAAGTTAAAATATTGTAAATTAAAATTAGATAAAATAATGTATAAATAAAATAGATAACATTAACCAAAAACTTCGTCCGCGATGGGAGATCTATAGTGTCTCCCCCACGGACAC